TTAAAATAATTATGATTTTTTGGGAATTTGAGGTAATTCTTTAGAGCAATGCTTGAATTCGTTGGAAGATGTGGAGTATTTTGTGTTTTGTTGGATAAATCAATTTTGGTTCTTAATGAAGAGTAGTTCATTCCTTACAGATGGATTAGTGGAGAATATTTTGGAGCTTTGTTCATTGCAGTGGAATTCGTGTCAAGGTGGAGATTGTTAGAATTTGAATGTTACCTGAATTCCTTGTTAAAGTAATTGAACAATTTTAATTGAAGTACACGTCAAGAAGAATTTAGTTTGGAATGCTATTGGAGTCCTATGTCAAGTTGAAATTCTATTTTGGAAGCATATTGGGAGTTGAAAATTGGTATTGGACTTGAAAAAGAGTTTGGAATGGAGAAAAACACTATTGAAAATTTTTTGGCCAAGACCGACACCTTGGCGCCACTTGTATGTTCCGGGATTTTTGTGTTTTTTCTCTCCTTTTTCTTTTTGGACTTGATTTTTTGGCATCTTACTTCATCAACAACTCTACTAAGAGAGTTTGGACGTCCTCTACATGTTCCCTATAAATATTAGGCTCTTTTATATAATTTTAATGTGTGAGAATAGTGTGAGAAAAGTGATTACTAGCTTTTAAGATCATTGTAATATTTCTCCATCTTCATTATTTGTGATGCAATAAAATCTCCTAATTCCTCTATCATATTTTCTTGTCTCTTTTACTCTTTCTTGTGATCAAATACTTCATATTTTACCATATAAATTCGGTTATACATCTTGCAGGGTCGTGCAGAATCTAGAAGAGTCAATTAACACATGTTCAGTACCTTGGTGGACATTCAGTTTGGTACAACACCTTTAGGAGCTCGTAAATGGTCGAATTTGAAGAATATAGCTCAGTGGAGTTCGAGAGATATTAATAATGCCATTTTGCCACCATCACCTGTGGTGCCATTATATTCTATTGCTAAGGACAGATCCAGTGGAAAAAGGTATGTGGATGCTAATTTTGTTGAGCATACTTTCAGCGTAGTAGAAGGTGTACAATCTAGCAAAAGGCCTTCTTTAAAAGCATTTGAGTTTGATTATATTTTGGGGTGTATTACAGCCCAATTTGGTAAATTTTAACATCATTATGAATTTTGGGAATCTGAGGTTGGTGTGTACTGTCATAAGCACCCAAAAGTAATACATTAACCTCTAAAACAAATGTAGTAGTGAAAATAAGGGTAGATCCCACGAAGAGTATGTAATTCAATATTTTATGCTTCGTACAAACAATTGTAAATAATGCAATTAATAACAACGAAAATTAAATTAACGAAAACAATCAAAAGACTAACCTTGGTCCAAGTCAATATCCACCTTCAAAATTTTATAATTGATCATCGATGGAAGTACAAATCAACTCATATTTTGAATATTCACCATTGGAATGAATTCATATTTCTCCTTAATTTTACTTAGTTAGAAACCAGTGTTCTAACTAACCCTAATTATTAAATAACCCCAGACCAGAGCTCAAAATTCAATTTAACAACAGCTCCACACAATAGATAAATCAATGAACTAGATAACACAAACACCAACGATTGCATTCAATCTATTTAAACATTTTTCTAAGATTTAACAATCACCAAATCAGCAAATTATCAAACCTTAGTTGCTTCACAAGTAGAAATCAAACAATTACAGATTTGATATTTAACTTAGCAGTAGATTGCAACGAATAACAAACTAGTGGCTTCCTAAGAATTAAACATAGCAAACATGGAATTAAGTGTAGAAAAATATTCAATACTCAAAAACATGAATTAAACTAAGAAAAATCATTTAGATCTCACAATATGTGGTTCCGAAACTTCAATCTCCTTGGACCAAGTGTAAAAGTTTAGTTACAATCCATAAATATATGAGCAAAATAATGAAGAATGAAGCTTTGAGGTGTTCTGTACATTCTTCTCTCGTATTTGGGTTTTAAAATATGTATTTATAGTTGTTTCCATAGATAGTTGACTTAAATTCGGAAACCAGAATTTTCGTGTCGAGAATGAACTATGCGGCCGCATGGTAGGAAGTCATACGGTCGTATAGAACATTGAAAATGGACTTTGAAATTCCCTGAAACAGCATTTACGATCGTATGGAATTTAAGCTATGCGACCGCATGGCTTTAAATAATTTCCACCCGATAGCCTTCAGTATTTTGACCATATATTTCTCTCCTGGAATCCGATTGAGATGATTTAAGATGTGTTAAAAATATAACTCAAAGGGATACAAATTTGCTTCAGATATTATCTTCCAATTCGATGGTTTTCCATGTACAAAATGGGTCTCAATATGAGACTGAAAATCGGTGCATAACTTTTTCGATTGAAAATTGATGTGTGATCATACTTTACCGATATTTCATCCCTTTGATGTCTCCTTTTATCCAATTGACTCCTAAAACTCTCAAATCTTCATCGTACAGTTCGACACAACTTTTGAATATTTTCAATTTAGTCCCCAAACTTTCGCTTTCTTTTACTTTGGTCATTTTTCACTTGTTTCTTCCAAATTACGCCATATCCATAGAATTGCCACCTAAATCAAAATATGAACGTAACGAGTACATTTTGGTATTGATTAATCATAAGAACACATACAATAAGGAGGAAAAAATATGCATTTTACATTCTTACCAAATTCTCCCACACTTAGCTTTTGCCCGTCCTCAGGCAAAACTCAAATTTAATTCTCCAAAAATACCTAGGTCGTAATGCCATGAACATAGAACTATCAAACTCTTTAAAACACACAACACATCATAAATTAACATTCTCACACAACTCATAACCAATTAGCTA